TAGTTTAAAATAAAACAAACCCGAACTCTCCAGCTTGAAGTATATTAAAAAATCTTGGGACGCCGTTCAGGGTCCTTTTGGACCTTGATCTCTGGAAAACTCCTAAACCGTAAGACTTGGAGACAAACAAACTTGTTCATAGCATTTAACTTCATAAAAACGTGAGGAAGCAGACATTGGGCATGCACTGGTTAATAGTCGATGTCAAGGCATTCAGCAAAGTCGCTCTGAATTAGTTGTAAAAGATCAGTAAGAGCTGCCGAATGTCTCATTTTGTACAAAAATGTTTGCTCTATCAAACTGAAGTACGAAAGGACATTTTAGTGTTATCTGTGAGAGAAGTATACGCATCCAAAACTGATCAAAATTGCGAAAAATTAAGCGACTATCGATTATTTTTCTAAGATTTTAGTGCGTTTTCGATTTATTATATTTTCTCTATATATAACATTCAAATTTTTCTACCATTTCAGTTTGGTGGAGCAAACATTTTCCTATAAAATGAGATATTCGGCAGCTCTAACTGATTTTTTACAACTCATTCGGAACGACTTTGCTGAATGCCCTAATATCGATTAATCGGTGCATGCCTAACTGGGTTGCATTTTGATTCAAAACGGGATATAAAGCATGCGTCTATACTATAAAAGTAGGCCGAACTCAAGTGACCCAATAATATTGTGAAAACCCAGTATATTGGGTGTCCAATATTATTGATTCCAATATATTGTATTGGTGCATGCCGATGCTAATCTTGGCAGAATAAAATCGCGATCTTATGATTGTAATCACGTTCCTGATCAAGTTAGTTATGCGACTCCGTTCCCGTCTATGTTTCAAAAATGTGACTGGATCACGACGGGATTACAGAAAGATCATAGCTAATTCGCCACAAGATCTTGAAGAAATTTTTCCTCTGCCCACCGTTGATGAAAATTTTTTCCACTAATCACTCTTTGTCTTCCTCTGACTTGGTTTAGACTTTTTCTTGAAACAGAATGAAACCGAGAATATAAACTCCCACCCTAGACAAAATGTTTTTGGTAAAACTGATAAGATTCTTATCAGAATCTTATCCGTTTCTTATATAAGATTGTTTAAGATTTCCCACCGACAGTTGTAAGTGTCTTATAAGAACCTTATAAGATTCCGATAAGAATCTTGTAAGACACTGGTAAGAGACTTAGACATTTCTGGTAAAATTCTTATATAAAAATCGGTGTCTAGCACATTACGTCATTCTGTTCCTTATACTGCCGAAGTCTGCAAGTTTACTACCTGCATCAGCGGCTCCATTTGCTGATGATTATTCACTTTTATGTCCTCTTTCAGCTGTTTTCCCGTCTTTTGTATGTCAAGAGAATGTTGATTGTATAAGTGCATAGCGTGATTCTCATTTAATGCAATTAAATTATAGTAAATGTTCTTGGTTACTGTCTACTAATAAGCCTCAAACACACTATCAGTGAAAGACTCGTTTATTAACCGAGTATTAGGTGCCATGTACCAAAGTTTTAAAGATGCACCGGTCTTGGTTCGGTTAACTGTTTTCAAGGCATGCATTCTACGTAAATTAGACTATTATTCGGTTATTTACGATACTAAATTTCCTCATCATAATTCTTGCATTGACTCTATTGTTAAATTGGCTGCCCGAATTATATTTAAAAAGTTTGATGGCTCTGTTCCTGAATTAATACGGAAATTAAATTTGCCAGATTTATATAAAAGACGTAAATACTTCAGATTACTTCATTTTTATAAGTTTCTCAACAACCATTCTATTCTTTCGGATCTCAACCTTATTCATACACGTAGTATAACTGAAAGTGCACCCTTTTTGAAACCAAACTGGTGTTTAGTATTTCAAAGAATAGAATAGATATTTTATGGTCTTACTTTACCTAAAGTATCACGATGAATGCCCACTTTTTCGCGCATGTTTTTCATATCATTAGCTTCGAGTACAAAGTTTACGTAAGTCAAACATTGTTAAACTAAAGTACCAGGTATTGGTCGGGAAAGATTTTCAAGCCTGCAAAGAGAGACTCGTTAACTCAAAAAAATTCATTAAATGGTTCGTAGCTATGGAAAACCCATTTGCTTTTTTCTCCATTTAGTCAAGAACTAAGTAATGTTTACTAAACCCCAGGGATTTTATCAATAACACCCAAGGGAAAATAGAATACTTTTAGGGTTTTGTAATAGAAAAACCCTTTATTAGAGTATCAATTTTTTTGATCACCAAACATTTTTATATACAAATGATCACCATTTCCCAACATGAATCTCACACTTTATTTCTCAACAAAATATAAAGTACAGCACAAATATATTCATTGAAATATTAACCATATTTTTGCAGTTTTATTTTCGATTTACAAATTTAAAGCTGTGTTAACTTTCTCGGGACACCCTTTTGTTTTTCGTTTGCCCAATGGTTTAATACGTGTTTTATTCAACGGTGAAAAACCGTTTTTGGAATGGTAGAATGGACCGGAGTGGCTGGAATGGACCAGAATGGGCCGGAGCGGACCACCTTGATGCTGAGTGAGAATTTCTATTTTTCTGTAGGTATTCTTAAGGTCATTGTTCCCTGCTTCCTTCAGAAGGTGTTTCTTGACAATTTTTTCGATTTTCCATTTCCGACGGATTTATGTCAGGTGGGGGAAAAGCGCATTCCGCCACTCCGTGGAGTGCCGAAGTGCTCGGTGTGCCGTGGGCTTTAGGAAACTTTATTGAACTGAACTGTTCGAGAAAATTCTATTCCCGCAACCAGAACAAAAAGGTTCTGTCACACACACACAAAAAGAATTTACATAAAACAATACAATTGCTTCGTTATATTCCCAAGAAAAGAACACGATTGTTCTGTTTTTGCGAAGAATATTGAGAGAAATATCACTATTTTATTCTAAAAGAAAACAACACACTCGCCACTCCCGACTATTGTACGGAGTGAGGGAGTTAATTGCAATATTTCCGAAAGCCCTCTGCTCAAAAGCCTAGTTTTCCAGAAGTTATGAAAATAAAAAACCAAAGCAGATTGCTATCGCCACTGGAATCAGCATGTCTGAAAACCTCCAGGCTCTGAGACTCAGCCTGAAATCTTCATTTCAGTAGACTGTATCCCAATTTTTCTTGTATTGGAAAGACGCTCATTGAAGCAGCTACTCCTGCACAGATAAATTATGTGTACAAATATATTGTTTCTCAAAATACACATTCGATAGTATATAAGTCTGTCAAAAATGGAGACTGGAAAAAATTGTCAAAAATGGTTTGGAATGCTATGGAATGGGCTGAAACGGGCCATTTCAGCGCATTCCGCCTTTTCTCCCTTGATCTTATCACTAACTTTTTTAGTGTCGCAACAATGCTGTTGGCTTGTTGTAGCATTAAAATCATTTCGCTGTCCCATTGGTATGAAAGTATATTCGTGTAAACATTCTGTTGGGTTAGCAACTTTATTTAACTTATACGATAAAACACGTATTCAACCATTGGGCAAACGAAAAGCAAAAGGGCGTCCCAAGAAAGTTAGCACAGCTTTAAATTTGTAAATCGATATAAATAAAACTGCAAAAATATTGTTCCTTTGGTTAATATTTCAATGAATATATTTGTGCTGTACTTTATAAATCCCTCCCCCCCAGAATAAAAGGCCATGCCCCTATACAGTGTCTCGGCACATCATTACTTTTTTCATGACCTTCTAATTAGGGTGACCCTCTAATACGTCTGAATTTAGAATGTCCTATGTTTCAATAAGTTTCATTTTTATTTATGTTGTTCATACTAGCGACAATTTTTTTTTCGTATTAGAAACTAATTTTTTTTCCACATATCTAGTAGAGTCTTTTGCTTTTGTCGAATAATCGACATTGGTCGGATCAAAACAATAGCCTGGTATGCTTGGAGGTCGTACCAGACTGTTATCCTTCCACACGTATCCCAGTTCAAGAAATGATGCCATTGGACTCTTTCGATTTTTTACTATTTTGTCTATCTTTCTCACTCATTCATGTAGACAAACCTATTAGAAGGCCATGGCCTTCTAATAGGGCGTTTGAACTTTTGTCCGAACATGGCCTTATACAGGGGGTGGCCTTCTAATATAGGGTGGCCGTCTATTTTGGGGGGAGGTTTACTTTGTTGAGAAATAAAAGTGTGAGATTCATGTTGGGAAATTTGGTGATGTGATCAGAAGTACATTTACTCCTTATTCTTTTAAAATACTTTTCCAAAAAGTATTTTAAAAAACCAAATCGGTTTAGTAGCGATACAAAACCCTCAAATGGTTTCTCAAATGTGCTGCTATACCCTTTTAGGTTTAGAAACAAGAATAAAAAGCTGTTCGGGTTTTTTAAATTGCCTACTCTTTTTAGAGACTACTTTGGTTGTGTTGTTACATTACATTTTTAGGACAAGATAACATTGATCAATCATTATTAATAGCAGCTACCACACTAGGAGCTCTGGCATTACTTAGTTGTTTGTCACTTTTCTGTTATATGTTATTATGGTAAGAAGAATGTAGAAAATTTAGAATAAACCACAAAAACTTCTTTCTATTGTTTTCCATACATTTTCGTTGTTTTAAAACATTTTATTGAATCGTGTCTTAGTTCAACTATGTGTAAACGATGGCGAGAAAGAAATGACGAAGAAAAACAAGTCAACAAACTTAAAAGAAAATATTTATTATCAGAACAATCAACATCGTGTCCCTCTGAGAGTATTGCACATAACGACGATACAAAGTTGTCGAATTCAAACTGGAAAAATGTCAACCGATTAAGATTACCATCTTTGATTCGTGATAGTTTAGGATCTGTAACAAGGACTCTTAATAACCGGTTAGAATTAGCATCAACAACTGCTGCAATTCGTGCCCCAGTCAGTAGTTATGTTGTCTATAATATAACTGATGATAAAAGGAGCTCATATAGCCGATTCAGCAGTACTGGAAGTGAACCAATATTTAGTCATTTTCATCCAAGAACAAGAACATCGACAATAGCCACCGATAACCGAACAAAACGACAAGATGTGCCGATTGTCAGTGAAAAGAAACAGATAAATGATGATCATACATCTAGTTTAAACGACATACACAAACCGTTACCAGAGATAACTGATTTTCTATCAGATGTAATCAATGTAGCTGATGTTTGTTCAATATCAGAGACAAATGCGAGACAACTTAACTCTGGTCGTATTAGTGTTACAAGAGTGAAAAGGAAATATGTGCTTGAAGAAGGAAAAAAACAGATCAATATTTAGGCATTAGTTCAATCAAATCATGAACCATGATCCACCGTAGAGATAAATAATTTATAGCACAAATGTTTCTGAGCAAACATAATGTCAATGATAATTATCACAAATAAAATATACATTACCCAATTTTGTGTACGAAAACTATACGGTTAGATTAGATACCAAACTGCTTAAAAATGAATTTACCATTTTTATGTTACTCATCGCTGTAAGAGAACTACAGTGTCCCGAGAAACTAAGCGTGCAGCACGTTAATTTTTTTTGTTTTCGGGTGTCATTTTTAAACTTATGTAGATATCACAGAGGATCGCGGCACAGTGTGCATTTTTCCATAGGCCAGGCGGTCATTTGCTATAGAAGCAATCCAAAAGCCTACAAACACTTTTTTCATAAGTTTTCAGATATTTGCTTTCAAATGGTATGCTTTACAAAGTTCAAAGAGATTTTTATCCAAGTTCTCCAGAGACCCGATCTCCAGAAAACCTACACATAAGTATCCTGGAACGTTATAAAGCACATCATTGGGAAGGGTATATTTGAAAACCTATAAAAAAGTGTTTGCAGGCTTTCGGATTGCTTCTATAGCAAATATCAAAATCCTTAGCCAAACTTATCACGCTATGCTTTGACTTTAGCGTTTCGTTAGATCCAACAAATTTTTTTCTCAGAAAAACCTACTAATCGCACATCATTCGTGGCAGTTTCTTGCGCTGATTCCAAATACGGTCTTTTTATCGAATTTTGAATGATTCTAGCCTGAAAAAAAAAAATTACTTTAAAAACCGAGGCTTTTTTGGAAAATCTACCATCCGATCCAGGAGCGTCGGCGCTGATTGGCGCTAACTGTGTGGACATATCATATATAGGACAACATTCCCTGAAAATTTCATCAAGATTAGAGCTTCGCTAAAGTTCGCGCACGCATTGTATCAAACACACGTCCTCGGAAAATACGCTAGAAAAATGTCTTCTTTTTTTCTCCAATTTAGAAAGTCCAAAAATAGAAATTTTTTTACCAATCAATAGTGCACTTCATGCCGGTTCTGAATATATGTTTGTTTGTCTAATAGCTATGTTTGACTTTTGCGTATATCTGCGAATAAGCCGATTTTCCGATGGGCACGTACTTTTTGTGTATTCTTGTATATAGGATTTTCCCAGCTTAAATAAGCTCTAGGACAAAAACTTTTTTGCCATTAAATAGAGCATGTTTCAAAAGTATATTTATCACCATTAAAATCACTGAAAAATCAAGTTTCATTTTTCCACAAAAAGACGGTCTGGATGCACACTGTGCGCGGTTTGCACCAACGTGTTCGCTATGGTCACTTGTCTATATAAATCAGTTTTAATAGCAAACGTTTTGTTAAGTTTTAATTAAAAAAATAGGTGACTGCGCCGGTCACTGGATATAAGGACTAGTACAACGTCCTTAAACATTTTGTGATCTCAATGCGGGCCACTTCATCGGATAGAGCTTGAAAAGACGCGACGAATGCATATCTTTTTGTCTTTTGTGGATACGATTTTATGGGGAAAATATGCTTTACAAAACAGGGCTGTTTTTCAGAAATAACGATTTTTTAAAAATTTCTCTGACAACGTACTTAACTTTTGGAACTTTTTATCCGTTAGTGATTTGGTACTCTGCACATATAGAATCTAATCTGACGGTATTAGCTCATGAAAATACTTCACTAAAAAATGGTGAATATGCCCATAAAAAGGATATACGCTTTTGAAGAGTAGTACAAAGCCTGGTTATAATGTTCTTCTTCGTCATACGAAAAAACAACAACTTTTGAATCACATAACTTTATACACTTCTATTAATACATTAGACTATACATAATATGAAATATACATTTTAAGAATAGAATAGGGGCGTTGTTAAATACGAAGTCAGATAAATTATGTTTCTAATATTTCTTAAGATATATACTTTGTCTTCGTAAGCTTTATTTACAATCAACCATTATCTACTAGATAATGGTTGACTGTAAATCGCAATCGAAACGTCCGACGTTTCGATTGCAACATGCAATCTTCTTTAGTAAAACATAAAATGGAATTCAACTGGTTTCAGTCAAAAGAAACAATAAATGTAAATTTTATAGAAAAATTTCTAACAGCAGTCGAAACTGGAACTGAATTGCCGATATTGACCGAAAATGATGGAGCCATCCCGCGTGAACCATCGAGTGGTATGGGCGTTGATATAATGACTGAACGATTGATCTGCTAATAGTGAAAGAGTCGCTATTTAGCATAAACCTTTTGTTTTCTTTCTTCTTGGTTCTAATCACTGTTGTATCTTCTTTTGTATGAATTATGGTTGCTTACGTAAAGAGAAGATTTTTCAGGTGATTATATGATTGATATCTGTCCTTTTAAGATGATCTCTTTGTACACATTTTAAATGGTATGCCGTAGCTTTCGCCATGAAATAATCTGCCATCAAGTATCTTTAACATTTTTCGAACAAAATACTTTCTTCTAAGGTTAAAATTATCAACATATATTTGGGAATCTCACTTTCACACGGGAATTTTGAGACTTCTAGTCTCTTACACGAGAATTTGTGTCTCAGGTAGGAATTTTGATAGGTGACACGAGAATTTTACTTCTATGCAAAGGATTGAGATTATTAATTAAATGAGATTATCCGAATATATTATTCACGAGACTCTTAGATTCACACAAGAGTTTTGAGAATTACCACGAGAGTTTTAGTCTCTTACGCTTGTTTATGTTATTAAGAACTGCTTATGAAAACTAGTTTTATATGTATTTTTAAAACATATTTTCTTTTTCGTTGTTACACTATGAATATGTGTTTATTTTGCAAAGAATGGGAACTATTTAATTTTTAAGTAATAAACAAAATAAAACATGGTTTTCTTTAAAAACAAGGAAAATTCAACAGATTATTTTCTACAGAGGTTGAAACGCTGATTCTTTCTATGATGTTAATCGAGTATTAAAACAATCATAGAAAAAAATGTCAGCTCAAAATTCGCTGTTTTTATCGAGATACAACTAACTAGAACACTTTCCTCTATCAACTGTCATAAGATCACTGAAAACGGACTTTGGCTCCTAAGAAGGTTTCCTCGTAAGTATATTAAAAGCAGCTTTAAATTTAACTAAACTATACTACTAGATTGTCAGGAACAATTGGCCAATCGAAAAGTATACAAAATAGAGAAGAGCATGAGATTAATTGTACAGATGAGAGATGCAATGGGTTCGTCTATAGCAAAATGTGTTGCAAATATCACAAAGGATATAGGAGACAATAGAAAATCAATTAAAACATAAGATCTAATTGAAAAATTATATAAAATGAAAGTTAAAAAGTCATATAGTTTAGCCAGTTCAGTTAAGTGATTCGCGTCAGTAGATCGTAATAAAGTCCTAAATACACTGAATCAATCATCAAAAGTCGACAAATCATGGAAATCAAAATCAAGGTTGAGAAGCGCATGAATTACGCATAGTGCTGTAATATCGAGTTAGTGATGCCTTATTTTTAGCTCCGAAATTCCATCAGTAAGATAAAAGTTAAATTACTGCGTCAAACTTCATCCGATAGCGATGAAAAGTTGTTTCCATACACAATTTAATGTCGTCTATCAAACTATGCTAGAATCAACTCTTCATATCGGAAACTGTTACGAACCGGGAAAGTTGAGGAAAATCTAAATAGTTTCTGACATAGTTTCCTGAGAAGGGGGCGCTTAAGGACAGAACAGAAGACCCGCGTCTTTTATTGCGACATCCCGTTTATAATAGTTAAATCAGAAAGAATTGAAATAGACTATCACTTTTTAAAGAGGTTAGTTTGGTTAGATAACTATTCATAGAATACAACGTTATTATTATCTCTGATTCTTAAAAAGCTCCTTTTCTAGTTTAATTAGCTTATGTTCAATGTATTTTGAAAACAAAATTCGATGTTTTTCTTCATCATACATAAAAAGGCCATCTTTTTCATTTGTATCAAATAAATATTGGAATTCCATCATGGTACATTGAAAATAAACCAAGAATGTATACCAAATTTTTTCAAGTGGTGTTGTTTTATCAAAAGCATGATGTTGCTTCTTGATGTTAGACACTAAATTTTGTAATGTCAAATTAAAATCAACATCCACATAGTTTTCAACTAAATCTATAAAAGATTTAAAATACAGTAAATATAAATTTAGTTTTCTTTGAGAGAACATTAATAATATCGTTCTTATTGTCAAATGAACTGATTTACTTAAATTTGCTTCAAGTCTGCACAATTTAGAGAAGAAAAAGAACCATTAAGACCTGATGAGGTTTCGAAGTCGAAGGATCTGTCCTCATCGATCTGAGGTTTATCTAAACATACCTGAGTCGATCAACAACTTCATTTGTTTTTCAATTTGTGGTGTAAATGGAATGATATCAATTACTTCATCAATAATTTTAATTGTATATTGTCGATGAAAATCATTGCGACCTTCAATGATCGCTTGTCGTTTACCAATAGCATGAAAGGCTAATAAAACATAAAAACATTGATCGGATAGAAATAGCTTCTTTTCTTTTCCTGCAAAATTTTGCTGAAAGAGTTTTATTGTATCAATTGTATGTTGTTCGAGTGTCATATGATCATCAACAAGTGGTTCATAATGATACTTTAAAATTGGATGTACTTTTAGTGCTTTCAAAATAGTCTGAGGGTCTGTATCAATGGAATTTTGCACATGTTGTCGTATATATGATAGATTCTACGTTGAATTTGCATAATTCGTATAAATCAACCATATTTGTTCCTGGTGTGAATAGTAAATGGAGTAATTGATATCTTTTGTGCAAGCAATGAATTTCAATGAGTTTTTAGCATATACGGTTACAAAATGCTCTGCAGAATCCACAGTGTCGCACCTTTGAAGATTGTTTTCAGCAGCAATTTTTTGCATCACTGCATCGGGTAACCACTTATCTAGTGCACATAGCGCTGCCGGATTGCCGCCGAACAATTGATTAGTGAACGCATCAACTTGGTACATTTTAATGTTCACCATGATTTTTAATTCGTTTTATTTTATCGACTCTGCGAGTTGGAGAAAAACTATGTTAGCACACACACTGCTCCCTAGATAAAAGTGCGATAAGGAATTCAAATATCTCCATCAGATGTTGACCAAACGAGCTGAGATCTGGTCAGTGGTAGATAAGATCACGGTAGTATCAACTATTTGAAAGTATCAAGTAGAGGATAACTAATATGACCACTCCTTGTAGTCGATCGAAATGCAGATTCTAATAATTCTCGTGTTGGATATGGATGCCATGCCAGAGTATTGAGGGAAGTTACGATAGCGACATTTGCTCGATTTCTTGTTCATCCAAGGATACGATGATGCTCCTTTGGTTGACAAAGAACTTGGTAAAGAACTTTTTCAGAAGATAATGAACCCTTGTTAACTAAGTGTTATACGGGGGGTTGATCGATAGCATCCCGAAGCCTCTTCCCTTGCTAAAGATGATAGTCGCAACCTCGGAAACGGGGGGTATTCTACGCCATTATGACAGTTTCAAAGGTTCTCACCGGCTTGCTTTGGAAAACACAGAAAGACAAATGAGTGTTCATCATCACGGAGATTTTTATTACGGATGACTTCTTAAGTGAGTGATCGTCATCATGGCTGTTTCTGAGGCAGAACGATGGTCCCTCAGATAGCTTCTGTTGAAGAATAAACTGATCTATTACCCTCATGGTGCTCGGAAAACTATTTTCTCCTTCATCCTCTTTCTCTGCTTATCCAGTCACTTGTGATATGATCATGCTGAAATATGGGGGATGGCGTCCCTTTCCTGCTAGAGACGCTGATGGTTCTTCAGTCGAAAAGAGCGCTGACAGCTTATTGCAGCAGTGTTTCTCGCTGAAGTAGAACGAAGTACTTCGAAGAGTTACACATGAGACTTCAGTTGTTAAGATTATTAACTCTTTTCCGCTTCAATTCAATCCAACGTAATATCTAGTAGACTTATCATTGCAGAAAGTACTAAATTCTACCATTCAAATCCGAAAAAGTGACGTTAGTTCCTTAATGCAATTCAAATATTTCCCTTCAGGAAATATGTAATTTTTTGCAATTGTTTTACATGGAACAGCAGTTGTCTCCTGAGATTTTAGTTCTTAGTTTTTTCGTGAAATGCCTAAGTCGAATCGGTTGATAGTATTTCATGGTTTACTTGGTTGTTACTTTCACTAGATGAGATCGTTGAGCAATAGCCATATGCTTGTCTGTAGGGAAGCAATACAACATGTGAAGATTGATCGAAGATAGGAGAAATGAAAAGCAAATGATCATAAAAAGAATGAGTAAACTATCGGGAGAGAAGACACCGGATCGATCATATTCAATAAATTGAACAAATAAAGTAAAGAAAAAAAAGAACATCGAGAAAAGTAAACATGCATTAAATTTCCAAAGTGCTTTTTTCTACTGCAATTTGAATCTTGAAAAAACACTCTATCAATGACTCTTAACGCTTGCCAATATAGTGGTAGCAGTATTTTCTCGTCTTTCTTGAAAGTAAAAATCAAAACAAGACAAACGATCCGACAAGATGTTTCATAGTTTTCGCTTTTCTATGATGGTTTACTCCATATGGTTGCTCCAAGCGGTTCTTCCGTATTATCAGTCTACTATGACCTTGAGCAACAGGGGAGTGCAGTTCATCCCATTGAATTCAGTCGAGCTGCTGAACACCACCTTGGAAACTTCTCTCGTTCAATGCTGGGCGAAGTGTAATCAGAACCCACAGTGTCGCACCTTTGATTTTGACACGCAATCGACTCGATGTCGGTTATTCGAAGGAGCTGCATCAACTGGACACCTAGTTGCCTCCGCCTCCCTCTTCTCTCAAGTTGGTTCTGTACATCGCATACGGGCTATCATGCGATCACTGTCCAATGGATCGATATCTTCTTTGTATCAATCAAGTATGTGCCTGTCCATCAAACACTTATTGGAACGGATTATCGTGCGAAAATCAAAAATATGCTGAATCGAGTTGCAGTTTGCAAGACGAATGCCGTATGCAACCTTTTAATCTCAGCTGTTCTCCGAAAATCTGTACCTCGACAAGTAAGAGATCATCTTGCACATGCTGGAGATTACTTAAGGGTACCCTCCCTCTTTTTTCATGATTTTCAGATCTCGGAGACGACAAGTCCGATTCAATTGAAATTTTTACCAGAGATAGAGCATCGAAAATGACGGATCACATGTTTGAGGAAAAAATTGTGAGGACTGCCTTCATAGTTTTTTATCAAAAATACTAGTTTTCGAGAGGTCTTCATCTGGACACTGGACGGGGTGGCAAAGAGTTGTCCGATTGGGCTGAAATTTTTTTCGGAGGTCCTATCGGTGTATCTCAGAGGTGCTTTTAAGCGTTTTTGAAAACCTTGCTTCGTTTTTCTTATATAAAAAAATACGAAAGGATTTTCCAGAGATCCTGATTGTTGACACGAAAAACCGTATAAATTCGGATGGAAAGATCAAAAATGAAAATGGCCAAAAGTACCTCTCAGGAATAGTCCAAGGTATCTGTGGTAAAAATTTTCAGCTCGATCAGACCAAATTACAGGGAGATCGCCCGTGTACCAGTTGAGCGCTTTGCCTGAAAAACCAGTTCTGAGAAAAACGACAAATAAGTTTGACCAACGTATTTTTTCACCGAGAAACTTTGAAAGTTTGGTTTCTAAGGATTTTATGGACAGTTTTTCATGGCGAATTTGATGAGAAAAAAAAAATTTAAAATTTTTTCACAAAACTGAAATTTTGACAACTTTCTGAAACACAGATTTCACGTAATGTTGAAAGAAATTTAACGGCAGGTCCGATTGAACTTGAAAAGGCGATCAAAGTGTTAACACTCAGTCTATCTTCACAGCACATTTTTAAAAAAGATTTTTCGAAAACTTTTCACTAAAAAACAGGGGGGGGGGTACGCTTAAGGGTAAACACAAAAGTCACGCAGGAGCCGCTTTACATTGTCGAGAAAACTCACTCGATTTATTAGTTAAATACTCGTTGTTGAATACTAGGGATCTATCAAGTCTGTTCTACTGGAATCAATCAGATACCTTTCAACTTGACAATGACCAATAGCTTCCCTTACACACTTTATACATACAACTTCACTGCTCTGTATTCGAGTGTCTCGATTACATTCAGCATTCAACGTATATTATGGTATTGGTATTTCGACGATTTCTCTCTGAAAGACTCCAATGGATCAGAGTTATTGATCAACGGTGGATTCGAAATGGGCAGCAGTGCGTTCTGGAATTATTGTAATCCGTACGGTTCTGGTTATAGTGGTGCTATTTCGGCAGGGGGTGTCAATCATGCGGGTACTTACTACTGGCAAGACGCTGCTCAGCCTGATCCAGATTTCCTCGCACAAAATGTCTCACTTGTCATTGGCCAAATCTATAGGCTAAGCTTCTGGCTCCAGGCAGATGGCGGTGGCGGTCAAATTTTAGTTAACATTTTTCAAAATTGAAAGTCCTGGACAAAATGCTTACAACTTTCGTTTCTGATTCTGTATCAAAGACGAATTTCTGATTTTGATACACTTGTTTATTTATACAAATGATATAAAACGAATCGAGTTTTTCGTTATCATGAAACAATCGGAAACTTTCCTCTGAATATTGATTGGATATAATAAGAAAAATATTTTTGTCAATAATATTCGTAATAGAATCAGTTAGTTCAGTTATATTAAAACATTGAAGACAACTATCGTGTAATTGTTCAAATTGATTTTTTATATTTTAATCAATATTACAATCATCAAATCATATTAAGATTATATCGTCTTTTTTATTTACGGGCAAAACGTTTGATGCTAAGTTAATATCAGATTCCTTTAATGAGCGTTGTTTCGACATTTTTCGTCAAGTATGATTCACTTGATGAATTAATAGTATTATCACTACTGTTCCTGTCTGCTTTTAACTATGAGTTAAAAAATTATGCAGATGTTTTCTATCCTTATTCTTATTGATTTTTAACATTTTCTCAGATATTTTATACAAACAAAATGTGTATTTTCTTCAAGATTCTCATGGGTTTCAATCGCGTAAATCATCAGATTTTGCGCTATATGGCTCCTAATACTCACTATGAGTTAAGATCAAACCATGCTAATCGACTGCTTGGTTTTGCAGATAAAGT